TGGAAACTCCGCCAAGTTGAAAAGACAAAAGGAAAAGAAGAAATAAAGGGGGGCCTTCCCCAATTCTACCCCCCAAGGACCTTGTTAAGGACAGAGCTGGCTGCAGACAGCCCCTCCTGGGGAGGGCGGGCCCGGGGTTGGGGGCACAGGGACAGGGCCGGGGCACGACCCGCCTTCTAGCCACCCACCCGGGCTCATGTGCGTGAATTTGTGTGCGGGAGAGAATGAATTGCATGATCGTGTGTCTGAGAAAGTGGGCGAGTGTGAGTTTATGGGAGAGAGACAGCGTGTGCGTGCTTGTGAGTGTGTGACAGTGTGGGTGTGAGAGTGTCTGTGTGCACAAGCGTGTGCTCGTGTGAGTGTGCGAGAGCCAGTGAGTGTTTACGAGCAAGTGTGAGTGTGTGGGGAGGGCAGGTGGTCGTCCCCTGCGGTGGGCTCCAGTCCCCCTCCCCTGGTCTGGACTTGGCCAGCTCTCTCTCTGAGCCTGTCCTGGGCTGTGCCCTGGGGCCCTGCTCCCACTTACAGTGAGATGATGCCTGTTGAGCTTCTAATCTACTGCATGGGACACAGACCACACTCAGGCAGAGGTGACGACCGACCGATGTGCTCATTCAGGCTGGGAGGGCCCCGGGAGGGGGTTCAGGAGGGCCTTGGAGGAAGTGACTAGAAAGAGTTGGGAGAGGGAGAGAGGCTGTGGACAGACCCGAGCCCTGCCCTGGTGTTCAGGTCCTGCCTTCAGCCCCAGCTGATGTAGCGTTTCTCGTGGGAGAAAAGGTAGAAAGTAAACAGAAGCACAAAGAAGATAGAAGTTCCTGGATCCTAGCACCCAGAAACAACCACCATTAACATCTCAGCATGGGAACTTCAAGAATGAGCCCCGTCTGTGCACACACGCATGCACACGTGCGCGCGCGCACACATCAGCATGGGAACTTCAAGAATGAGCCCCGTCTGTGCACACACGCATGCACACGTGCGCGCGTGCGCGTGACACGCATGCACACGTGCGCGCGCGCACACACACACACACACACACACACACACTTTCCTGCATGGGATCATGCAATACCCACTATTCCGTAATTTGCTTTGTTGAACTGTTACAGAAAGTGTCTCGCATGTGGTTAGTCCTGTGTGTTAGCTGTTATCGTTGTTGGACAGCTAGAGAGACTGAGCATCTCTTCTCATGTTTGTTGACAGTTTTTGGTCCTATGTGACTTGCCTGTGCATGTCCTCTGCCCATGTTTCTCTCGGTGTTTTTGCCACCTTCTTGTTGGTTTTTAACTGTTCTTTATATATTAAGAATATCCCCTCTGAGCATTGGAGAGTCAGAGTGACTCCAAACTCCCTGGGGAGTAGGAGGCAGACACCAACCCTGCCAGGGTCTGAGTTCTGGGTGCTTATCCCCATGACCCCTATCCTGCTGAGGGACCCTGCAGTTGGGTGGCAGGAAGGGGCGGACTGGCCAGGCAGTGAGGGACAGTGGCAAGCAAACAAGAAAGAAGGGTCAGAGCTGAAATCAGAGGCTCTGAGTGACAGCCTTAATGGGAGGCAGATGGAGGGGACAAGGCTGCCCTTGCTGACAGGAGAGAGGTCAGGGGGCACGGAGCTCTCTAAAGATAGGAGCCTGGGCGACGGCAGGCAGCAGGGCCCGGCTCCACAAAGTGGATCCCAAGGGCTGCAAAAGGGTAAGGGTCAGCTCCTCCCTCCTGCATGTCAAGACCCTCTTGGGCCCAGGGCCAAATGAGCTGCAAGGACAATCGAGCCTCGGAGGCCAGATGTATGGGAGGTTACACAGACCTGGGCTGGAGTCCCAGCCTAGCTGTGCTATGTTGGGTAAGCACCCAAACCTCTCTGAGCCTCAGCTTCCTTGCATGTAAAATGGTGTAATAACATCACCTACTTAATAGGATTTTATGAGATCCATATGTCTAGCAGTTAGCATAGTGGTTGGCACATAGAAAGAACTCCGTAAATACAAGTAAGCTTTTATTATTGTCACTATAACTGTCACCCCCCACCCACTCTCTGTTGGCAGAGCCTACCAGCTACAACAAGGAGATCTTCATTGGATTCAGGACTGTAAGAGCTGGAAGACTCTCAGCTTATAGGTGAGGAAACTGAGGCCCAGAGACCAGAAGAGCCATGCCTGGGGTTACCCATTAGAGTGGGTTTAATTGTGTACTCAGAAAAGATGTGTTCAGGGGCCGGCCTGTGGCTCACTTGGGAGAGTGCGGTGCTGGTAACACCAAGGGCACGGGTTCGGATCCAACACCAAGCCAAGGGTTGAGATCCCCTTACCGGTCATCTTTTAAAAAAAATAAATAAAAAATAAAAAAATAAAAAAAAATAAAAGATGACCGGTAAGGGGGTCTTAACCCTTGACTTGGTGTTGTCAGCACCACGCTCTCCCAAGTGAGCCAACCGGCCATCCCTATATAGGGATCCGAACCCATGGGCTTGGTGTTATCAGCACCACACTCTCCCGAGTGAGCCACGGGCCAGCCCAGAATATGACCTTATTTGGAGAAAGGTTTTTTTGCAGTTGTAATCAAGTTAAGATGAGGTCATACTGAATTAGGGTGGACCCTAAATCCAATGGCTGGTGTCATTTAGAAAGGAGAGAGCAATTTGGACAGAGACACAGACACAGGGAGGAAGGCTACATGAAAACAAAGGCAGGTGGAGATTAGAGTGCTGGTGCCACAAGCCAGGGATGCCTGGGGCATCAGAAGCAGGAAGAGGCAGGACAAGGACATCCTCTAGGGTCTCTGGACGGAGTCTGGCCCTGCCCATATCTTCAATTTGAACTTCTAGCCCTCAGAACTATGAGAGAATAAATTTCTGTTGTTTTAAGCTGTCAGGTGTGCGAAGCTTTGTTACGGTGGCCCTAGGACACTAATGTGGCCAGGGCAGAAGCACAGCTCAGGCCAGGTTGTCCCACCCAGCTCTGCCTTGGACCCCGCACTAGAGGCACTTCCCACAGTTACTCGCTGAGCGCCCCAGGCCTCAGTCTCCTCGCCTGTGCGATGGAGCCAGCTGCCCTGGACCCGATGAGACGAGGCATGTGAAGTCCCTGCGTTGCCTGTGAGAGCTGTTTGTTCAGGGCCTTGCGATCCATCGAGGGGGTGGAGGGTATAGACTCTTAAAGAAGGGGCAGACATTTCCAAACCCTCAAGGTAATGCGTGGGGTGACTGAGGCACACCTGGAGCAAATGTCCTCTCCAGGTGCTCATTGCTGCCAAGTGGGAACTGGGGCCCTTCTGGTTTTAGAAGACAAGCTAGAAATCTCCATTTCTGTGTGAGCAGACTTTCTCGATTTCACTCAAGAAGATAGTTCTTTCCTGGAAGGAGAACCAAGGCAGAAGTGTGCTGGGAGCCATGGCCCCTGTGGGCTGTAATTGCTTCTGGAAGCCCAAGCTGGGGCTGTCCTAAAGTGGCTTAAACCCAGCTGCCACCCACACCCCTCCTTCCTGCTCCTTTAGGCAATGGAGGGCCAGGCAAAATGAGGCATTTTGAGCACCTGATGGGGGTTTTGATAGCTTGTTGTTTGATCTGCACCAACTTTGTTAACAATAATAGCATCGAGCAGTTATCAGCCCCTGCCGCATACTGTACCCTTCTGGGTCCCCATAGCTGGACCTAGGCATGCTTTGGATCGGTTTTTCTTGTGAAGTCTGTTTGGTTCACGGTGGGGGACCTTACTCTGCCCATTTTTTTGCTTAATCCTAAGACACATCAGGTTGTCCTGAACCGCGCCTTTAAATGCTTTCCCCTGGGCTGGGCAACTTTTGCAGGTGCAGGCGGGAGAGACTCCCAACCCCGCAGGGTTGGGGGCGGGAGGCCGCTGCTGGGACAGGGAACCCCTCCCCATAACTGCCTTTCCAGACCCAAGGGCTCGCTGCGGGACTCGAGGCTATAGAGGCTCAAATGCGTGGCCTCGGGGACGATGCCTAGAGCCCAGAAAAGTGGTCTCAGGCTTCGGTTTCTTCCCCTAGACTCCACTTCCACCGATGCTTAGAGATCTTAGGTGGGTGCGCTTATGCCCACTTTACAGATGAAAACACTAAAGTTCACTGAGTCCATCAAGGCACGAAGTGGAAAGAGCCGGCAGCTAGCCTGAGCCAAGAGCTCCCGGGGACAGAATAAGGAATTGTCCCCATGGCCCGTGGGGGGTGGGGGTGGGCGTGCGGGGAGAGTGGCCCTCATCAGCGTGCCGTGTGGGGACAGAGGTGGCCGCAGCCCCTCCTCAGGGGGAGGCGAGAGCCAGGCCAAGCCGGAAGGGGCAGAGGTCTGATCCGAGCTCAGGGGCGCCCGAGGCTCGCGCAACCCCCACCCCGGGGCGAGATGGGCAGTGGCCGGGCCTGGGGGTGCGCTGGGCGGATCTCGGACGGCGCCCAGCGGCCGCGGGCGGAATCGCAGGGCCGAGCGGACTCGGGCCGGGCCGGGGCAGGAAGAGGCGGGCCCGTCGCGGGCTCGATCGGGCCAGGCCCGGGGCCCTCCCTTCACCTCTGCGGGGGGCCCC